ATATTTTGTAAGATATTTCAAGTATAAGATGAAGTGAAAAGTTTTCCATTGCTGTAAAAACATTAATGTTTTCGGAAGACAAACCATTGTTTCTCATTTGGGGAGGAAGATGAATTCAGTTATTAATGAAATTAACAGAGCCCCAGAAAATAATAAAAAATATTAATTTACATACAAACCAGTTTGGTTTTTTTTAAAGGGACTTACGAATTTTAATTTGGACTGTTTCAAATACTGAAGATATGCACAGCTACTGGTACTACATTTTTCAACTAAAAATTAAAAATATAGTAATGAAAACAATGGCAAAAGGGCTCAAATAAAACCTGATCCTTTGCTACAACTTCTCAAGGTCACAGGATTCATTTTCAGTATCATGCACCATTAAAATTTACTTTGTTGTACTAGGCACTAAGAGGAATAGAGAATATGGTTTTCACAAAAAGGATGGCTTTCATCTAGACTTTCACCCTCTTTATAGGGAATAACTTTGCTAAACTTTGGAAATGAAATACATGTGTGAAGCTCTATGGGCAAGCAGCAAATCACAGCAATAGCTACAGATTACTTACCAAACCATATGATAGAAGTAACCAATCTTTGATACTAATCGCTGCAAGATGGTATTTTCCCCAAAAATTTCCCATGAGGGAAGGGGGCAGTGAGAGGAGAAGAGAGACTGACAATCATCACGGAGATTACAGCATACCATATGGGATTGGGGGATGAGAAATTAACACATTAACAAGTGTAACAGGTTCTTTGGCTGAATGTATTCTGTGACTTTGATTCAGTGGCTTTTGAACGTTTCATAAGAAATAGGCTTGTAGGTAATTCTACTTGCCCTAAAGTTTTCTAAGGTATTATTTTAATTTCTGTTTATTTTAATAGTTTGTAACAGGATTTCACAACTCAAAGTTACCTATGTTAATAGAATTTAATTTTTTCCACATAGAAGCTGTTGCCCAAAGTGTTTCTTTGGTTATCTCTGTACAAAGCTGCCAAATACGGCCACAGTAAAGACTTTGGAAGTTCACAGTCTGTACATGATCAGTAGCTGATGGTAAAACACCTTTGAAGATGCTGCCCATCCTTCCCTAGGTCATGCCTCTCAGATTGCCCCCATCACACTTCTCGTATGCCCAGATCGTGACCTCACATGCATCAAACTCACCGAGAACAGTCTTAGCTCTTGTCCATAACAACCACACATTATTCCCATAGACTGACAGAGAACAATCCCCCTAGTCCAGAGTTTTACCTACTAAAAAAAAAAAAAAATAAAAAAAAATCTAAACTTTCTCTGGAATGGTTACTCCAGGAAGATCGAAAGACATCAGGACAAAGAAAGTTGCAGTTGTCTTTCACCAGTGCTCTCTACGCCCACATAAGCAGCACAAAGGAGGAAAATATCCAGATACAGAAGAGATAAAGAGCCTATGAGGCAACAAAGGAAGCATCTCGATGTGGAAGCCATGGAAGATAAAAACGTGAGAAG